AGGAGGAGCGAAGGGCCGAAGAGGCTCGCAAGCGCGAGGAAGCCAAAAAGGCTGAAGAAGAGAAGAGGGCTCAGGAAGCCAAGAAGGCAGAGGATGCTAAGAAGGCTGCAGAAGTCAGCAAGCCTGCAGAATCCACGGCGCCCGTGGATGCAAGCAAGATGCTTGGAAGTGCTTTGGCGGACCTGGGACGCTTTGGCAGCAAAGATACGAAGCCAGAAAGCCAGCCACAAAAGTCTGCAGCTCCAGCCACTCCCTCCATCAATTACGACCTCTTCGACCTTTGAAAATCGAAGTGTCTGGTTTGGTGATCAATCGCTTTGCATACTCATGCAGCTGTGGCAGTACCTGCCCACGATTCATTACTTTCGTCCTGCTGGATGCCTATCATTTCATATTCCTGACATTTTTCAAGTGCTTTTCCCGGCATCGACAGGGGACCGGGACGCATTTCAATTGCATTTAGGAGCCCCCGGCGAACCTGCGATGCCAACATCGTCCGTGTATCGTGTTGTCAGAAAGAGCTTCACCAGAAGGTAAGCCTGGTCTCATGATACGCACCGCCGCTACAAAGCGTAGCTGGAAAACTGCACAACCTCTTGAGTCATGAGTCCTTTCAGAACATGCAGACACGTCACGTGCAAATCACACCTGCTTGATGCAGGTGGCGATAAAGCTGGGAAATCACACTTGCGAAAGGCTCCCGACCCCTGCAGTCAAGTTTCACATCTCACGCCATCTTTGGCAGGCGGAGGCCGCGGAAGCTCCAAGTCAAGCTGAGAAGGCTCGTTTGCCATCGGGTCGCTCAATTTCTGCACTCTGTGAATCGTGCGTCGTCGGCTGCTTCGGCCTGGATGACAGGTCTCTTGCACCTGTAGGGAGTGAAGCAGAGGGTTTCGAGGGGCAGAAGCTCAAAGATTCGCAATTCAACGTCCCGAAAGCAAGCTAGGGGAGGGGTCACCAGCAATCGTGACGTAGAATGTACAAGCGGGTAGAAGGCTTTTTGGCCTCGGCCGAAGCCGCTGTCAGAGCGAGCCGTTGTATTGTGGTGCAGATTTATGAGCACGTTCTGCAAATGAGCGCGGCTTGTCTCAGGCGCCAAGTGAACGAATCGGCGGCGGGGAGGCTGGTGTATGATGAGGTTTGAGTGCTTGAAACTAACGCAGAAGCCTGTGGCAGTCGCAGCCATTTAAGCACTCCCGCAACTTCCCTCTGCTTTCTGCAGCGATGCTCGGGTTCACGGCTCCCAGCTCGCTGTCGCGCTTGCGGAAACTAACCGCGTCGCCATCACGAGCAGCCTCACAGTACCTTGGATTCTTATTGACGTCGTGCGTCCTGGGTAGGGAGCCGCATTGTGGCAAGGCTTCAACGACCACCGCTGCCGCCTTTCAGTCGTGAGGATGCCATCAAGAAGGTGCGGATGGCAGAGAACGCTTGGAACACACGCGATCCAGAGACAGTCAGCCTGGCTTACACAGAGGACCACAAGCACTGCAAACAATTCTGCGAGCTGCAAGTGGCCGGTTATGCTTTAATGTCAGGATTGCGTGTGGAGGAATCGCGACACCTTCTTCCAAGGGCGTGATGCCATTGTGAATTTTCTTCGCAAGAAATGGGAGAAGGTGCTTGGGCTTTCACCTCACAACAATTTGGGTGTAGCTGCAGTTCGTGTTGATCTGCTCTGGCCAGGAGCAGGAGTATCGCTTGATAAAGGAGCTCTTTGCCTTTGAAGGAAATCGAATTGGGGTCTGCTTCCAGTACGAGTTCAAGGATGCCTCCACAGGCTCCACGAGCTGCAAAGATGACATCCTTCGGACTTGCTGTCTTTGCAGGGCAAGTTTCCATCGATTGCTTTTTCGTGTTAGCCAAAGGGATCTGGTACCGTGCCTACGGCAACGAGAACTGGGACTTTGCGGAGAATGGCCTCATGTGCCGACGTCAGGCACATGAAAATCAAGAGCCAAGCCTCCACACTGAGTCGACTTGCCATCACCCGAAGTCACGGTCGCAGGCTTCCATCAACGACGTTCAAATTAAGGAATCGGCCCGCGTCCTTACTAGGGGCTGTTGTGGCAAGGTGTGGTATGTTGTGGATGATTTTCGAACTTATCGCTCCGAGGATCGACGGTTCACCTGGCCAGAGCTTGGTCATCGGCCTGAAGACTTCCCATCCTTGAGCGAGCTGTATGAGGTTCATGGGCAATGCCACTCGACCGCAGCTTTCGGCAACTGCCTGCATGATCACCTTGCAACAGATACAGCCTTGAGTGAAGTACCTTACCAGCTCAGGAGTCAAAGTGCAAGAGGAAAGTTCTCCACCTGTATGATTCACTATTGGATGTGTAGTCGGCACTAAGAATTGTGCTGCACAGTGTAAGTTTGCGAAGCACGCGCGGCAAACTTCTTGTACAGATGCGCAGTATGCCAGAGGATCCACAAGCTGATCATGCTGGTTCAAAAGCCATTTGGTGCTGCTACGCTTTAGTCTTTGAAAGTTGGAGCACATTCTCGTGCTGCTAAAATACTCTTGCACCTTGCCAGTCATGCCTTGGCTGGTCAGGCGCGAGGCGACGCGCGAAGGAGCTTTGCAGCAGGGCCCACGGTATTGCATTCAGCATGCAGCACTGTTGTTCTTTGCATTCTGACATAGTCATTTTCACGGCAGGTCTGGCGCATGGTGTGAGGCAACTAGAGTCCTTTGCATTCAACCTGAGGTCAATTGGGTGGTCGAACATCGGGCCGTTCTGATTCGCTCACAGCCCAGCGTGAAGGCTACGCAGACCGGCATCACGTAAATACAGAACTAGCTAGAGGGGGAAGGAGAATGGAGCCATCGGGCTGTTGTCATCAACGACCTTTACGCCAACTATATCATCACCTGTTCCAGGCAGAAAAGCTGGGCATCGTCTGCAAGGGCCACGTGTTGAAAGGCTACGAGATGGAAGGCTGAAGCCTGCACTGACGGGTCGGACGTTGTATAGGATAAGAAGCAGTCAAAAGGCAGTGGTGAGAGCATGCTAAATTGATGCTGAACACATTTGCCTCGAGCTGACAGCCGTGAGGCTGGGTGAAGCTGACAAGGGAATCTGGCATTCAGGCTGGGTGTCTGATTGCCATGGACGGAGGGATCGCTGTCGAAGACATGCGTAAAATATCGGGCTACTTCTTGACACTGGGCGACGAGAAAGCCGCGACAGCAGAACACACAACAGTGACTGCCGTTGCGCGCTATGCTTTTCCGGAATTTCCGGAATGAGATCACTGTAATTTTTTTGAGCAGAGGAATGCCATGCCCAGCGCAGCAGTTGCGCCAGGCTGGAGCTCCGGATGGCAAAGTGGCTTGGGTGCTGATTGATGGCCAGGAGGCGTGCGGACCGATCACTTTGACCAGCTGACTTTCTCAAGAGACGTGACCTCCTGCAGATTGCTATCCAGGTTGGTCTCGGCATCTTGCTCCGCCGCTTGAAGCCGGGCGAGAAGCCCGTCGAGAGTCGAGCCAAGGAGGCAAGAATCTCGAACAGAGGAGGATTTGGTAGCCCTGGGAATCGAAAGGATTCAGATGACGACAAACATGGCCTTGCCTGGAGAGCTGAGGCAGGAAGCCCTGATAGCATTGTGCGCGCAAAGGAATGACATGACCAGCAGCCTTCAGGACATCTACACCGGGGCGCTGGAGTTTGAAGTCCTCTTCAAGTCCGTATCCGTTCGCAGGTTTCCCTGCAGCTTCCCATGGGTAGTTTTCATTTTCTTTTCCATTATTCCAATATTAACCCCAATATACTATAGTAGTTTCCATTTTCTTTTCCATTATCTCACTATTAACCCCAATATGGTTTGGAAGCAGCCTCTGTTGCCATCCAGCATCCTCGCAGAGTGCCTTGGAGCCAGGCAACCACGAGTGAATTCCAAGTCTCTCGGGATTGTCACAGAGGCGTAGACAGTACCATCACTCGTGTGTGGGGAATCATGTGTACATGCCATTACATGCCCTGCAAGCTGGCAGGGCAGCCGCCTTTGGGGCTACCCGAAAGACAACTGGCTCCAAACCAACCGGAAGTACAGGCCCGCATTGCCTGTATATGCCTGAATGGCCTAGTGAAGGGAATATTTGTCCGCCCTCAGAGGAGTGTGATCAGTGGTTTGAAGTGGGTGATGCAGCTCACTGATGTTTTGGCAGTAAGAAGCCGCAAGCAGACAGAGTTGATCTTGTGCGTTTATCTGTCTGGAGCCTGTCCTCAAGTGCGAGTTGCAAGGGTTCCAGACATCAGAATCCTGTGTTCCTGCGACTTCACAGCAGGCAGAACGACCGCGGCTGGATTCGCATCGCGGAAGCCTCGTATTCTGATGCGATGCTGTGATTCAGTGCCACTCCGCACCCGCCACGTTCTGCGAAGATGATGCCAAGGATGGAACGGACCTGGGCCATGGGCAACTGCTGCAGTGCACCATGATGAAGCCCAACGCTGTGAAGTGCTTTGCAGAGGCAGCTCCATCCAGTCAAGGCATGCTAGGCAGACAGGTGACATCAAGCCGCATGCATGTCGCTCCTAACCGGACCTTTGCATAACACCAATCCCAAAAGCACGACAGCTCATGTCAGGCGCTGCTCATATCTTGGCAGCAGCTTCCGGTGAAGTCAGCGTTGTACACATTGGAATGGATGGCGCAGGACGCTTTGAATCCGAAGCCTAGAGCTTCTTTGCAGGGGCCAGCTGTATCGCGCTACATCATTGCGGCTTGCAGGTATTATGGATGGTGCTATCAGTTATCATGGCGGTGATGGTGGCGGCGGCTGTGTGGCGGTGGCGATGGCGGTGGCGGTGGCGGTGGCGGTGGCGGTGGCGGTGGCGGCGGCGGCGGCGGCGGCGGCGGTGGGGGTCGTGGTGGTGGTGGGGTGGCGGAGGGGATGGCGGCGGCAATGGTGATAGTGGTGATAGTGGTGGTGGTGGTGGTGATGATGGTGGTGGTGGTAGTGGTGGCGGCAGCAGTGGTGATGTGGGTGCTGCCATTGTTACCACAGTGGAGGCGGTGGAGGTGGTGCAGGCCATGGCGGTTGCGCCTGGGTTGGCGTGCTGGCGACGATGACACCAGAGACGGCATCATTCTTTACTTTTTGCTCTTAAGACTGTTTGTGCTCAAAATGCTAGCAAAGAACTTCTTGGTTCGACTTTCAGTGCAGTCGCGTCAAAGACGCCTTGAGCGCCTGAGAAGACTCAGCTCTACGTGGTTGGTGAGTCTTGGTGTCTCGAGGTCCAAGCCTGTATACCCGGCACTCCTAGCGCAGCGTTCGCCACAGAACGTTTTCAAGCGGAGACTAGAGCAGCCTTAATTGCATCTACAGGGCACTGGGGCCTTTGAACAGAGTCGGGGTGTCTCAACGTGGCCCTGGAACTGTGTTGCCATTGGTGTTGCTGCCTGAAGCAGGACAAGAAGAAAACAAATGTGGCCTTGGACAAGACGCGCAACTGTACAGGCGCAACAACTGACCCAATGACTCTTGAATTTTGCGGCATGCAAACTTCTGCTCAGGCAAGATCGGGCCTTTGGCATCAGATGCCACATTCTTTGTAAGGCTCGAAGTCTCAGTGCAAAGCACCCTGGATTGCCTGTTGCCCCGCAGCAGCGTATGGGAAGAAATGACAAGAGGATCGCGCATCTCATCCTGATGTGATGGCAGGGTGACTGCCTTCATCCTGATTCCTGGGGCAGATGTGAACAACCCGAAGAGCATTTGCTCAAAGGCATCCGTCCAAGCTGATGTCGTTTCAAGACAGTAGTGCTTCTTTGCCGAATTGTTTTTTCCAGGTCAGCAGCGATTGGGCAGAGGTACAAACAGGTCCGTCCTTGTGCAATTTCTTCTTGCAGCTCTGCCCCGCAGACACTTTGCAGAGGATCCGCCGTTGATGCAACAGAAGAGGCGGCAATGACCTTTGATCCCCTGGTGTGCCCAGCCAAGTTGATGATGCCTTGCACATGAGGGCCCTGCTGAACTGTTTCTTCGCCAGGCGAAGATCCGCGGGAAATGCGGCGACTGTACCTTGGTTGCATTCAAGGTTGGCATGTTCTCGGGACCACAAGCATGATTTCGATAGACAGGCCTCTGCAGCGCAAACTTTCTCAGGCCAACACTGCGCAAACTTCATTCTGTCCAAGTATTCCTACCTGATGCGCTTGGATGAGGTCCTGCTGAAACACGCAGCTACTGTGGTTAGTTGCAGCCCTTCTGATGATTTCCAGTTAAGTCACACCACCACTACTAATCGTATCGTGACATAAGTGAAGTTGAGGTTTCTCCGATGCAAAGGCTGCTCTTAAGGTAATGCGTTGTCCAAGCTTGGCTCGTTGGGTTCGTTGAATTGAAGCTTTGTCGAGGTGCTTTGCCGCCGCTGCGGTTGTGCTTGCACAAGCCACGAGATTGTTGGCGAGTACGGGACGCTTCAAGTTGTTGCTCTTTCCACCACAGCGTTGTGACTAGCATCGCGGGAACGCTTGCATCCATGGATCCTATTTTCAGCAATCACACGAGAAGCCTGAGCTGGCCGGCAGATGCTGCATAGAGCAGGAAATCTCGAGCGCAGTGGGCCAAAGATAATGAGCGCAGGCGGCATTTGCCTCTGATAGGCGTACTGCCACGAAGCTACAGCTGCAGAAGCCCTTATCTAGTCCAGGCAGCGAGAGGGCCAACGCCGACAGCATCAGGCTCCCAAGCCACCGGCATCAGTAGAGTTGCTTGGCGAGAGACTGTAGTGTAGGAGGTACTTTTGTCGAAGGCTGGCATCCCCAATCTTTAGCTATGCTGAGGCTTCCATGTCGCCCCTGGCAACCTGACGATGCACCGGTGCAGCGCACACACTTCCAAGTTGCAAAGGCACTATGTTGGGCCCATCGTATTTTGCACCAAAACGCAGGCCGGCACAAGCAAGGCCCAGTATGTCATCGATCAGGCGAGCGGTCTGGACTTGTGCTGTGCCTCTCCCACGGTAGTTAGGCCAGTTCGCAAGGCAGATAGTGGCCAAGGGCTATGCGGACACTGATTTTGTGTTTGCCGGTTATAGGATATCTGGATTACAACTGCATGGAACTTTACTCCTGAGTGGGTGCCTGATCTACAATAGTAACTCCTGACTCTCAGCTAGTTGTGTGGGTGGTTTGGACGTGGTAACAGCTCGCAATTAACTAACCTCAATTTCTGGCATGGAGTACGAAAATTTCTTGTAAGCACCGTGCAATCATACTTGTAGTGACCAAAAGCGAGCCTTGCATGCGATTCCTGTCCGAGAGGAGAGGCACGTTTGGAAGCTGCCAGATTTTGAGAGTTTTGGGCAGAGCATCATGGTTGGGCTGTTGGTGCTGGCATGGCGAACATTGCCCAACTTGTGAAGACTGCAGTTATCTTGGCACAGCTGACTCAGCTTAAGGACCTGATGCGCAGGTCACAAAGGCGCGCAATTTGTACGAGACTCTGGGCGTAAAGCCATCAGCGGCTGCGAAGGCAGACTTGGTTTCTGAGCGTGAGACCTGGCAGAAAACGCATAGTATAGCCTTCAGGACATTCGCAATGCTTACCGCCAGATTGCGCTGCGCATTCACCCAGACAAGGATGAGTTGCCTGGTCAGTGCATTGAAAGATATGGATGTGGTCAGTGCTCGCAGGTCCCCTCGGGCCAAGGCCGGGAGGAAGATCTTGTTGCTCAAGCAGAGGCTCGGAATATCTAAGTTGGCTCGCCCGAAAATGTATCTTTTCCAGATGTGCACCAGGCCGCCTTTAAACTGGTGTCTACAGCTTACGAAGTCTTGGGGGATGAAGGAGATCCGAATCCAGATGGATGGGTTGGCTTTGAGTGAGCTGGGCAAGCACGCAGCAGGCAAGAGATCTTCCTACAACCACACTGCAAAGCACCTGGCTCAGCCTGCGTCGGAATGCGTCAGCTTTATTGCATTTTGCTACGCTAGATCGGCGCATGTCCGTCTGAGTAAGTTGGGAAAACGCAATGAACTGCTGTGAAGTGAGGGCAAGCGGAAGAGCTGCAGCGGCCGCTCCAAAGCCAGCACAGCGCCTTGCCCAGTTGATGTCAGCTGTTGGCACTCAACTGCAAACAAGTCGCCAAGGCCGCGGACAACGACCCCTTCGGCCCAGAGAGATGCTCAAGCCAAATTGAGATTGGTCGAGACAGTAGATTTGGAGAGAGAGAGAGGGGACATTGAGAGAGCGGCCTTTGGAGGAAGAAGGAGCGGAATCGTAATTTGAAGAGGGGATGTGGAGCCTCTGTAATAGAAGGAGGTCATCCAGGCGAATCAGTAAAACCTTCTTTGTATGGAAGGGAGGCTTCTGAATCTGGAGGTTGGATGTCTGGTATCCCGATCCGGATGGGTCCCGACCTGACAGCCGGGCTACAGGGCACAGCCCTTCATGGCCAGGCTCTTCAACGGAAAGAAGTTGAAAAGCTGCATGGCAATACTTCACCAGCTCCCCCTTAAGGCTATAGGCACAACAGTCGAGAATTACGACTGGAGTGGCCGCAGTGAGGGCTGGCAGGGGTTGTCCTTTTTGGCAACAACTCGAACAACGCTTAAGTTCTATCAAAACCAAGAGGTAAGTCCAGCTAACCACCACAAATCATCAATACGCAGTGGTTCAGGAAGCTCAAGAGATTCTATTCACACCCCGAAAGCATCAACTCAAGTTTGAAGATGGACGTCTCAGCTGCATCAACGTGCCGATGCTTTCGCACTTTACCATGCGGTGATCAGGCCATCTCTTGGCTTGTGGGGCTGTCAACCCGCAGCATGCGACAGCCAAGAGCACCCAAGACGATGTTCTGCAGCAAAAAGACAGGCAGAGTCGTCAAGCCTGCCTCCTCTTGTCGCAGTCGCCTCTCCTGGCTTTCTGCAAAGTCTGAAGATTGTAGCGTGTTGATCTCGTCAAACGGTCTTTTTGGGAAACGCAAGGCCTCGCCCCAGGCCAGGGCTATTGTCAGAAAAGATGAATGAGCAATTCTCTGATATGCTCGGAACTGGTTTTGCTGTCGTGGTTTTGTCGCTGACATTTTGCTTGCTCGGTTTTATGTAAAATGATTCATTTGGGCTTGGGCTTGCAGCTGTTGCCCGGCGGTGTAATTCTGAGCTGAAGGAGCAACCAGATTAGCATAACCTCCAGAAGATCTTCGGACTTTTGTAGGACGCTCGAGTGGGGTCCGCGCTGAATGTTCGCATCAGAAAGGTTTGTGCACCGCGAATCACCGTGGTGCATCCTTCAAACTACAGACCACTCGCATTGGCTAGCCTGAGCGCAGCCCCGGCCACTGTTCAGGTGTGTTCAGGTGCGATTTGTTTCAACAGCCCGCTCGCCCACCCTTTGAGTGCTGCTCTCCACTTGCAGTTGTCGACTGGTAGGGTCCGTGAGGTCTGTGAATTTGGGGCATGCGCCTTTGACAAAGAGTGTGTTGATTACATGCCAATATTTGTTGGTATTGTTGTGCTGTTTCCACGTTGAGCAAAGCTCGAGAATCTCCAGATACTTTGGAAGGCGAGACAGATGCCGTGCCCTCTAACCCTAGGCCCTAAACGCTCCCTTCTGATACCCTAAGCCCTACACCTCAACCGGAAAATAGCATCCTCCCCCAAAAGGTAAGGCCTTGTGAGCAGGGCATGCGCAGGTGCCGCAAAGAAACCTCTCTCAGCAATATGGCAAGGATCAGATTGCCTCGAATTGACCACTGACTGTCCCTTCAGAGGGCTTGAATGTCTTCACACTGCACAACTTGGCTTTGCAAGCCATCTGTTGAGTGGAAGCAGTGGCAGTCCCAGGAACAGTGGCCTGGAGGCTTGGCATCGCTCAAAATTTGTTCCCAGAGTCACTTTGCATGTGTTGAAGATGCTGCGCTGCGCAGGTGCAACCAAGTCCAAAACAGAGGCCACTCGCATTTGCTACTTGTACCCGACCAGCACAATTCAGCTTAGACTGTGCCATGCCAGGTGATCCTCAAGGAGCGGGCCTTAAAAGAGGATTTGGGAGCTCAACGGGTAATTTGGTATGCTCTTCTTCTCGCTCTACGCATCGCTGACTCAGGTGTCCCATGCTGTCAGTGGCGACGAGATCTGCATGTCCATGAATCGCGGTACGTTGGATTCTCAGACAGATCCTTGATTCAGCCCTTGGCTAGACCCTGCACCAACCTGCCTAGTCTAGTCCTTTCTTCGTGTCCCGTTGTTGCAACGTGCGGTCTCAACCTGGCTTGCATACCCTCACATCGCCAACGCTGGCCGGGTGTTCGAATACAGGTTCTAAAGATTTCGCTGTAGCTTGAGTGGGGGAAAAGAGGGGATAAACGGGCCGAGCCGTCCTAGGACAGGGACCTGAGGGGTTGGGACAACATGCCTGACCTGACCCTTTTTCCTTGGATCCACATGCCCCAGACCTCGGACCTCCGCGGATTTTCCTGTCAAATGTCCACAGGAGTGTCATGGGTCTCAAGCGGGCTCTCTGCAAGAAGCTGAAGCGTGGTCCGCCTCAACCTAAGGGACAGAAGTCGGGTGCGCTTGCCTTGTTGCCATCACTGTCAGCTGATGATAAACTCTGATAGGCCAGAGAGCATCGACATTTGTGACATGGAAGGGTGCATCCTTGGTGATGACCACCGCTTTGCTGAGAATCAGGCAGGCCTGGCATGCCGTGCGAAACGGGCATGGGGGTTTCGAGCTGTAGGAGCTGCACTGCATTGGTATCTCCCTCGGCCGGCCCAAGACAGTGACGGTCGAGGCGGACCACGCCTTTCCTGCAAGATCATCCAGGATGGATAGATGTACGTGCTTTGGAGGTCAAGGACCATCGGTCTGGGGCCAGGATGCAGGTTGAGGTGGCTGACCCAGACGCCTTGCGGCAGGTGTTGACCACAAAATCCACAAATAACCTTTGCCGGCCAAGGTGCTGGACACCGCAAGCATGGAGACAATCAGAAAGAAGGCCTCCAAGGTGCAGCCATTTGAGATGAGCATCTCGCACTGGTGGAGGTCGCACGAGAGCTTAAAGTCAAGGAGAAGGCCGACGTGTTCTCAGCTTGCTCACCAAGTGGCCTTCAGTGGACCTTGACTGGTGAAGGAGCTGCAGATAGGGCAACAGAAGAGCGCCGGCAAGCATGCTGCCCGTCGTTTTGAAGCTCTTCCAAACGAAGAGTTACTCAACGGCAGGAGCGATGCAATCTGCGGCAGCGGATAGCAAAAAGGATTGCTCGGCAGTCGTGCCAGGCGGATGATCTACGTTCATGGAAACAGCGTGCTGATCTACCTCACGCTAGACCAGGTCACATCCGGCTAGTGCTTGCTCTACACATCGGGTTGAACCAAATCCTGATGAACGTAACAATTAACTCCTGAAGGCGTTGCATCTCCAGCGGGATTTGATTGTGGCCTACGGTGAGCGTGGGGCTGAGACTGCGAGTAGCCCCAGAACAGGAGCCTGCACTTGATCTTCATAGCCCCCAGCTGTCCAGGACTGTCTTCCAGACAAAGCTTGAGGCGCTGCTGTCAGAGTATCCTATGCCACGAACCTATGATTTCAATCACTTTACTGATTTACCGGCATCCACAAGTTCCCAGGCCGGAGTCGATCACTCAAATGAGCTTCCGCGAGGCAATGACTGCACGCGAAGTCTAAGCAACTTGTAACAATTAGCTGAGTCACCTAGCAGCTGGTCGCTTCAAAGGAGAGTTGTTCGAAGGCCTTCGGAAGGCTCGTTCGAGATGCTCAGAAGGCCACCCTGGCAAGGCGGCTCCTGGATCGTTGCGCTGCAAGTTGTTCCCACCGCATCCGGATTTCATGCGCACAGCAACATGGCAGTTCAGGTGGGGCTTTGAGGGTGATTTTGCGGCGCAGAACATGATGACTGCTTTTGGCAAGGCAAGCATTTGGTGTGCGCATATACCGATGTCCAGGCATCCACAATGTATTCAGGTGGCTCATACGCCGGAAGTGTACGAGCTGAGCTTGGAGATTGACAAGCTCCTTCGCATTACATCAGGCAGCGCACGTTTGAAGTTCAGCAGCCTAGCCAAGAACTATAGAGGAGACCAACTTGAGCCACATTGCCCATGTTGAATCCGCCGCAGCATCGATGACAAGGATCAAACCCTGAACACGCTCAGGGTGTAGAACAGTGAGCGCCATGGACGGAGAGCTCCTGTACATGGAGAATGAGCACTACGCTCTGGTAGATGCGCTGCCGTATATTGACACGCAGCTTGGTGCTGCAGAGGTTGCGCAACAAGTTAAAGCCCTCATAGAGGAGGAAATGACTCAGTTTGAGCCACGCGACTACTTGGCATCCCTCCCTGCACCGACACTGACTCTGCTCAGCAGCGAGCAGATGCAGCAGGAGTTTGAGAGGGTCAGCAGGAGGGCTCCCTTGATTGCTGTGGACCCGAAGAAGTATGAAGTAGAGACGCCAGAAGGTGAAGCTGCTGAAGACGAGGAGTCTTGGAAGTCAGTGTCTGCCACAACGCAGATCAACCTGGAGTATGCCAGAATAAAGTCGGTGAACCTCGAGCTTCTGGAGCAGTGGGGCAAAAAGGCGTGGATCGCCCATAACATGCTCATCCGGGGTGCAGAGAAAGTTCTCAACAGCGAGGCCACCGAACTCCGCGCTGCCCGTGAGGAGGTCAACAAGAAGCGGAAGCTTGACCAAGTCTCTTGTGGCAATGACCTGCGAAAGCTGACCCGGGAGTTTGAGCAGTACCAGCAGGACAACTGCGATGTAGACCGAGCTCTTCGGGATCTTGAGCTTGAAATCAAGCGCTTGAGGGAAGCTGCTGCGGAGCGGGGAGTCGACATCTCGGAAGTGGATCCACAAGCCAAGCCAACTGCTGATGCTGAAGACGAACAAATGTAGACTTCTGGCTCAGATGAGAGGCCAACGCTGCATGCTCATGCAGACAGAAAACTGTAGTCTGAGTGGATGGCTTGCATGCCTTAATGTGTGCCTCAATTGTGTTCATGCTCAGCCTTGCCTCCTGTGAAGCAGCAAGCTAATTCTGAATGTTGCCAGGGGGAATGATTGCGCCGAAGGTAAAGCCCAAGAAGGAGCAGGTTGGCTTCCTGCATCAGCTCGGCAACTGAACAAAGGCACTCTTTTGGCATTGCAAAGGCCGCTCCAGAGTTGAAGCCAGTCGCGTCCTCAGCAACCGCACGGCTTTTGGTCTCAGGCATGGCGCCGTTGTTCTTGACAGGAGAAATCCGATAAGCCAAAAAGTTCGAGCAAGAGTGGCCCAAGACCACCAGTGGGAGCCTTTGGAACCTTTGCGAAGCGTTCTGAAAATGCAATGATATGGACATGATGACAGTGCTTGTCAAGACGCGTTACAGGTCACCGTCACTGTGCGGCAGGCAGTTGAAGAGGACAACGAGCCTCCAGCACCGCCTCTGAAGGTGAGCTTGGTATCGAGAGGTGTCTAGGGTGTTCAGCTGCTGGTGGCCACTTGCTGAAGGTCACGGTCCCGGCAGATGCCACGATGCGTCGGCTCAAGCAGGAGACAAGATTTAATTTGTGGGCAAACTGACTTGATGCTCATCGAGTTTAGCAGGCCATTGCTGAAAAGCTTGGCGTGAAGCGCACAGCATCACTAAAGTCGATGGCCGAGCGCATTCGTGGAAAGATGTTAGACATGAGATGGAACGCGACGTGCTCCTGTCCACCCGTCGTCCGAGGCTAGTTTTTCATCTTGATGCTCGAGCCTGTGCCTCGGTGTCTCGGTGCTTCGATGGTTACAGGGCCAAGCCTCGGTGTGACGTCTTCTTGGTCACGCGTGCCGACCAAGTTGCGGAAATCAAGCATGCCGGAAAGTGGCATGACTTTTGCGTGGCGAGCATAGCTGTCAGAGAACATGTGACAGACGGATACAGAGGCATATGGGCCTGCCGATCAGGTCTTTCAAGGATGATGAACAGATCGGCTCTCGCCGAGAGGTTTTGCTGTACCAGCCTTGGAGATCCAGAAAGCGGTGGTAACCAAGGCTTCTCGGTTCAACCGTTACTGAGGCTGGGAGCAGACCTGCGAGATGTGGCACTCGCGGCATGTTGAGATGTCACCCTGCTTTGGATGATTAGACTTTGCACTTGCTCAGCTTTTGTGGGTTGTGGACCAGGCAGAGGTTCGAGTGGAGTTGAGCGGTGTGCCACTGCTTCCAGATGGCACCGTTCTACTGGCATGGGGATTCATGCGGTACTGATAATTAGTTGGCTAAAAAGCCAGGTTGTCGTCTTTGTCTCGCGTACCGCTACGCTGCGCGAGGCTGGCTTGGGTGCAGGAATGCAAGGGGGTTCGCAAAGTCAGTGATCCCCTCGAAAGATTCACGGGTGGCCGGTGCAGCAGGTTAAAGAAGCTGCAGCACGCAAGCTGTTGGCGAAAGAGGTCCCGGTGAAAACTAGGGATTCAAGAATGCATGCCTTAAACTGATTCTGAGCAGCTGCAGGCTGGTGCCAGTGGGCCGACTGCGGCCCATGTTGCGGAGGTGCTTGTGGTTGTGACTCACATGCCAGACTTAAGATGTGACTTAGCTCGTCGCATGGCATCATTATATTGCATATTGTGGTATCTGCCTGCTGATTGCGTGGCACTGCATTTTACAGCTCAAAGGGGGCAGGGGGCGGGTGGCTGGTGCCCCGAGAAGCCCCCATACATAGTTTCTCGAGCTCCACAATGGCCCTTGTTTCATCCTCAGAATAGACAGTATTCAGTTGTCATGATGGGCCGTTTTCGCCAGCTGTAGGCAGTACGTCAGCCGGGAACCGACAAGTCGCAGCAAGTCGAACCGGCTTTCACAAGGCTTCGGAAGATGAATCAGCTCCGTGATGTTGAGTCCCGATTTGTGTGGGGGGCTAAATTGTGCAAAGTTTTGCTGAAATTATTCAACACCCCTTGATTCGTTTGTGGCGCCTTTATTGTACGAAGTTGCACGGCCTCATATATTTATTTTTCTGAAACTAAAATTATTTTGCTTTAAAAACTGCTAATGTTTTCACCTAACTTGTCAGACTCATGCAGTAATTAGGGCCCTGATCCAAGCTGCTCTTCGGAGAATGGTATGTTAGATTAGAGTGTTTGCCTCAAGGATCTTAAGCTTCAGGGCTTATTCGTGGAGGCCTGGCAATCATTTTTGCAAGGGGGTAGTCCTGCAGCTTCTTGGGTCCTTGATAGAACGCAATAATACGATTTTTTTTATTCTTTTGCTTTTGGGGGGGGGGAGGGGGCGAATTTCGGACGCCCAGGGATTCCAGAAAGCAAGAGCCTTTCCTTTCAAATTGAAGTCAACTTGGAACAGCTACGTAGCTCTGCAGCGCTCCTCCTGTTGAATTTGCTTTAAACAGGTTCTGAGCTCCGGAAATCCTCCTCCCATTGAATTAAACTCAACACTACGTCCCAGATTTGTTTGGGAGGTCCGCCCTCACCGTACAATAAAACAGGACGCAACTTTTGATGGGGGGACACCAATCAGGACCCCAGATTAATATTCTAGTGGACCTGCCTGTTACAGGGAACGGCTCTCGTACGAGCTCGCGTACAAAACCGATGAGCAAAAGGCTGGGTGCATTGCAAGCCACAAGAAGCTTTCAAACAGTCCAAGCCTCCGTTGTTCAGGCATTGGCAATTGCCGACCTTGCTGCAAAGGCGCGGCTTTGCGCACCGCGCTTTTGCCCGTGGTGAGGGTGGAAGTTTCGCTGTGCATGTGCCTGCAGGGTGAAACCCTGGTTGCCTCTCACCTCGTCTGGCTCTAAAACCGCGAGAGATTTGTTGCCTCTGTACTTTTGGGCAGACGAAGCAGTGTTGGCTCTGAAAATCAAGGATTACATAGTGTCAGAGCTTCAGCGGAGCTCCAGTGCAGAAATCAAGCAGGCAGTTTGTGCCTCAGCACCCGGTATTACAGCGCGGGAGCTCAATCGGCAAGAGAAGCCAGCCACATCGGAAATGCTGGCAGCAATGAGACGGAGCTGCAGGTTTGCAAAGCAGTGATTGCTGCCGGACAAGCCTCTCTTCCTTTCTACCAGGCTGATGCATGATGCTCCACGCATGTTTCCGGGCTGTGCACTTCTGGCCTTGTGCAGTGCAGGACATTGTCGGTCTGATCGGTGACCAAAGTCCCGAGGCTAAAGCACGTGCCACAGCCAAGCATGGATCGCAGCAAGAAAACTCCAGTGCAGGTCCGCTACTGGGGTTGCCTCGCTGTGGGGACAATGGGAAGCTCCGCATCAGGCAACCTGCCAGCATCTGCCAGCTGTCCGGGTTGTGTTCCTGTCGTGTGCTAGCACGAGTCACATCATTTATCAGGAGCCAAGCGACAGATTCGGAATCTTCTCCAAGACTCGTCGGAAGCTGTTCGTTTCGGCGCTTGCTCTGCTCTGGGCGGCATCAAGGCACCTGGTGCTGTCGGATGCTCACGTCTGTTTGTGATGCATTCGTGCAACATGAGCTCAACATGCGAGAGAAAAATTCTCAGCATGAGACCGTGAAACTTGACCAACATTCCAGGCTGAAGATTGCACAGATGACTTGAAGAACAAGCTAGACGCCTGCTCCCGAGCCCGCTGGTGATCGCTCCAGCTTTGTTTTGCTGCAACCTCGTTTGCTACATTCCTGCACAAGCAAGGACCCCTCTCCTGAAGTCCAGGGTGCTGCTTGCCTCGCGCTAGGGTGACACGGCTCGTTTGCAGCAGCAACATGCATGTTCAGAAGAGTGGTACGCGTGACAGGAGAATGGGCGTTGCTGGAGCAAGGTATGCTCCTATGGTTGTTCCGAAGCGCGTCCCTCAGCAACCTGCTTGAGGCATTCAGTCAACCTGTACCAATTTGCTTCTATGAGCCAAGTAAGGCTGAGCGATCCTCGATCTTGCAACGATGCCCTTAAAGCCCTTGCTCTTATGGGACCGGAAGGCGCCAGTATCGCGCAGCAATTGCCATTGCATGGCTTTCATGACTTTCACCTTTAATTTGAGGCAGCAAACATTGCGATAAAGTCGTGGAGTGCCTGTGCAATGAAGACGCTGAGACCCGGGCCCTGGCAGCCTCGGTGGTGCAACTGGCCAGTAGCGCTTTGTAGCGCTTCCAGACAAGGCATGTCCCTTACAGCCCATGCACGTCCATGCCAGGTTGGGAAGATGTCTGAGTATGTCAAAGACGCCAGGGTCACAGACTCTCCTGACCTGGCCCTTGTTGAACCTTGTTGTGCCTGATTGTTGCTCTGAGACTCCTGCGGCCATGAACCGCATCCTGGATCTCACAAGAGATGAGGACGCTGGAGCCTGCTGTCGCACTTTCCGAAGTGTGAGCTGATGATGGATCCTCGCAACGATGGTTGATGACATGTCCTGGTCTCCACGGAAACCCTGCAGTCTCCAGAGTTTCGGCTTGGGATGTGCAGATTTTGCAGGATGGCCGCAAGCGAGTCGCTGCAGTTCTGGCATTGGGCATCTGGGCAGACTTAAGGACGTAGACGAGGAAGCGTGGCATATGCCTTTCTGTGAAGTTTCCCTCCCTGAAAGTGGTTAATTAGATGTTTTCCTGAGCTAGCTATGGCTGTTTGTGTGAGGCTACATGGGTCGCGATGCGGCATCTCACAAGGGCATTCTTCAGGCTGGCATGAAAAACATGCGCAGGAGTATGGTGAGACTTTGCTGCGAGCAAGGACTGCCTCATGGATGAATTTGAGGAGGAGGCAGAAAATGCCTTGACCCAAGGCACGCCCAGACTTTGGCCAGCGACGAAATGCCTTTGCACGCTCGCTTTCCTTGAAGGTGGCTGCAGGGGTCGACTTCCACCTTCTTGCAGGAAGGCCAAATGCGCGGCAGCAGCTCTGATCTTACCTGCAGAGCTTTCTGGGAGCGTTTTGTCTGCTGTCTGAATTCTTGATGAGGCTGCGCTGGCACGCATTGCCGCCCAGGACCAGGGATATGGCTGGGAATCTACTGCTGCGGATGTTGCAAGGCTCCGGGATGTGATGATTGCCGTGTTAGACAATTTGCTGTTTCATCCAGGCTCCTCGGCAGTGAGGATTGGGAAGTGAAGCTGTGCGCGCTCGAGTGCTTGAGCGCCCTAGGTTCTGCTTGCTTGTTGCCACGGGGACACCTCCAGCTCGTTGTGCATGCGTTTGCCAGGCCGGAGAGCACGCGAAAACACGGACAAGGCCGGTTTTTTGAAAGACGGAATCAGCACTGCAAGTAGCCTGAAGTCCACTGAGGTGGTTGGTCAGCTCAGCGATGAGAAGTACATCATCCGAGCGAAGGCGAGCTACTAGTAGCTGAAAATCGGCGTGCCAGACAGAACGCAGAGTAGATTAGAAGCATAGGCTGCAACTGCTTTGGCCAACATCGGGGACCTTGAGAGCATCGGCCTCAACAAGCTCTCCGAGCTCCTGCAGGACCGCGAATCTAAACGACATGGGGTGAGACGGCCTCATCTGCTAAAGCCACATCCAGGACACCTGTCCTGCAGTCAAGTCAGCGGCAGCTCTTGCTTTGGCCGAGCTGCTGCCTTGGCATTTGCTTCACGCTTGCCAAGCATCTCTTGAACATCTTGATGCTGGCAGCATGCCATTCACAAAGCAAGGCTAGGTGACGATGGCGCAGAGTATTGCAACAAGGCCCTGGTTCTGTTTCATGCTTGAAGAAGGCTGCCTATGCTGGACAATGGTCAGGTTTTTGACCTCTTGACCGACATCAGCGCAGATGTCCGAGCTGCTGCAGTAACTGCGCTCTCCAAAATGCGTGACAAGGGCAGGGCACTGAGGGGTGTGGGACGAGGCCCCAGCCAGGGGACGGGCCATGCAGCAGTACCTGCATAGTCTCTTGCAATACTGAACTCCGCTGCATTTGCATGGCTGCGCGATAATCTTTCAAACGCTAGCAAGGACAGGTGATTCTTCCGTGGCGCCAGCAGTGCACAATAACACTAGAATGGCCCTGACTGCTGACTTGTTTTTGCCAACAACGGAACGTAAAGACAAAGCTTTGTGCCATTGAGCTGCTGGTGCGTTTCTTCCTGATGGCTGATAGATCTGTGCTGAGGTCGGTATTTCACCACCGTCATTGCTCAGCGACTGAAGACAGAAGGGGAAGACCCCAAGGTGCGCGTTGCGGCAGCAGCCTCAGCCTCCACCTCAAGCCACAGAAGAGACGCATGTCTGTATGTACAAAGGCCATGGAAGCACTTTCAGCTCTCGAGGTGGAGCAGTCGAAGTATTCCTCAACTGGCTGCTTCAAGTGTCCACGTCTCGTAGGAGAGAAGTCTCGCCTTCCTGGACCTGATCAAGCAGCATCAACGGGACCCGAGCATTGATCTCCAAACTGAAGCTAAAAAAAGATGGTCAGGATTGCAAAAGTAGGACAGCTGACTTAGCTGTTTTTGTTTTGATGCCGCAGGATGAAGTGCCGAGTGTGCGCGAGGCCGCATCAAAATGTGCAGCCGGCACTGTTGTTTGAGTAAGTTCTACAAGATTCTACAAGTCATCAGACTCCACGCAAGGGATCGCGAGTCGTGGGGTTCCAGCGTAGCATTAGCCCCTCTGTCAGAGCGAAGGGCCAGTGAATAGGGACCCAACAGTTGCTTTACGCGGCATGGGCAACCTGCCCGAAGCTGACACGTTCAGTGGACATGCCAGGTCTCGGCCGACTCAGCCAGGGTGAGGGCTACGCCGGCTACGCGATTCAGGACACATGCTCTCTTTCAGCATGACGGGACCGTGCTTCTGTTTATGATCCCTCAAGGCCCTTGCCTCCTTGTCATGAGATAATCGGCATCCTTGAGCTCACTAGAAATTTTCTCGCAAAGACCAAGCAGGACCACGGCGATGAGGAGTGACGTACTGGCCATGGGTTGCTATCGTCATCTTCAATGCAAAGCAAGTGTACGTCTTTAGTGAATCTTCCGAACGTAGATTGCTTGAACATGTCCGCGAATTGTCACAACAAATGTGCAGCAAAGTTATAGAAGGTCAACGTGCATGTAGATCATTTGTACGCATGCCTTTTTGTAGTTCTGGACTTTGCTTTGCTGTTGTGCGGTGCGAGAGCGGAAAATTTGTTTGGGATCGCGTGCGCAAGAAAGGTGTACTTGCTTTGCTCAGACTTGTTTGACACGCAAGGTGGCTTCAGGTGGGATGATTGCGGGCACCATTGGAGACTCGATAGCGCTGGACCTGCTGCAGTGCGGCACCCAGACAACAGGGCTCAAGCAAGGCTTACGCAGCAGCTGGCAGAAGACTTTTTCATGACAGGGATGACCTGCTCCTGAAGGGTCGACGGAGGCGGGAGATGGCAGGAGGGCAGTTAGGGGCAGAAGAGGTCACTGACAGCGCAGCGAGGATCCACTGGCTGAGCACGGCCTTGGCTCAGGAGCTGGTCCCGAAGGCGTTGCATGCTTTTTATAAACGCACTTCTTCTGTTTTGCTACTGTCTATGGCCCTTCACAGGCATCAGAGATCACTATCCTGGAGCAGGCTCTGAAAGCGGACTGCAATGAAGACTTGCACCTGAGCTGCGCAGGAACAAGTGGAGGAGGCAGAGGACATGGAGGCTGCAATTTACGAGGCTGCACTCCACTTCTGCATTTGGCATGTCGACGCCACATGATCCAGAACGAACACTTTGAACTACAACGACTGCGGGAAGCATGCGAGGGAGGAGCAAGGAAAGCAACCATGAGATGCGTGCGTTTGCGGTGCTCACTGCCGGAGCATGTGTGATAATGGTAGTCCTACGGCAAATCTTAAGAAGCATGACATGACAGGTACCGCTCCCGAAAAAAAGGCTTCCAAGCGGATTTCAGCTTTTGTGACAAGCTCTGGCCGTATTGGTGGCTGAAGTCATACTGTGGGGTTCACAATCGACCGAAATAGAGCTATCGGTACCAACTTGTAACATTAGGATCAGCACTACCATTTTCAAACCCTTCTTGCTTCGATGGACGACTCCATATAGCGAAGCGTAGCATCGTTATAGCTTCGGTGAATGTATCTCAAGAGGCGAGCAAGGGGAGAGAGAGAGCGCAGCAGTTACGCTGGGGGAGTTGTTTCGGTCTATAGTGGTGTGTCCTTGCTGTGTGGGACTTAGTGATGGAATGTGTTCAGTAGGTGGGTCCTCCTGAGTACCCGACCGGACGTGGACGTTGCGCGCATGGGCTTGGGGAGTACCCCAGCCTGCCTGTAGGGGCAGGTAGAGCCCGAAGAAGAAGAAGAAGTTAATGATGAGCAAGACTAAGAAAACGGAGCCCATACAAGCTACGGTACATCCACGGAGAAATGCAAGCACAAGCTTTCGTGTGAAGTTTTCTTGCGAAAGTGTTGGCAACTTCAAGCCGTTGAATTCTTCCCGCCCAGGCCAGCGAGGCAGAAGCAGTGGATCCTGAAGCTCAGGGCTCAATTCAAGTTGGGAGCGAGAAGCCAGTGGCCGCAGCCTTCCCGTGCATTCTGTGCAGGAGGAGTTGATGCACGCGCATGAAACCCTGGATGCTGAACCACCTGCAGAAGAAGTTCAGGAAGCGCAGCTGCAACTAGTTTTTCCCGAATTTCTAATTTCAAGGGATGTCGCGTGGGCTAGCGGAAGGTGCCTCAACTTAATTGCATGTCCGATCAGCGGTATCTCCTTAAGGTGGACATGCCTCGATTGTGCAAACAAAGACCCTGCACAACGCGAAGATATGCGAAGTACACTTGCAGCAGATTTTAGCCGCCTGTCGATTGCAGGCCGAACTTGATACTCTTGCTCCTCGAGGCCAAAAGTGCATTTGTGAAAGCAACCTCTCACTTGCAGACGTTCATGCTGCTGTCCATTGAAAGCCATTAGATTCATCATGAGGCGAGAACGTGGTGACTGATGATGGTGGAAGCTTCAAGACAATGAGTGCAGACCAGGAGCCTCGGTTTTGGGAGGAATCCGAAGCCAGCTTCTGTATTGCCTTGCACAGACCTATCCCCTGCTCCAAGTGGTTCAGAATGCAAAGTGGAAACACGGGGTGAAATAGTGTGCTTCCGTAGTTGGCAAGCGAGCGCAGTGTGTAGCCGGAAACATTTGCGCCGGCATTGGCCATGGACTGGTTCAGAGGGCAAAGATACCACATTATTGCGTGAGATCTGGGACAATGTGGGCTCAAAATCATTGGTTCCTAGAGAAGGTCTGAACCCCAAAGTGAGAAAACACATAAGCAAGACTGTAGCATCTTGCATCAAGCCACAATACGGCTGAATGGTCTTGATAGGCACCTATTAGGGACCCGTAATGACCCATCATGCATTAACATGTATATGCACGGTGGAAAGGCATCAGATATCTTACACTGGGAGACTGTCCTGTAGTCTGCTTTGAGAGAACACCCGCGACAGTGCGACATGTGCTGGCGTATTGGCGCTTGAGATGTTTGCGAAGTGTTGCTCGCAGCATATAGGGTGACTTCTGACATCACAGGATCTAGAATGGAGGCGCTACGGCAATTACCTTTGTGTAGTTCATGACTATCTCAGATGCAAGTCTCGTGTGATGGCGGAAATTATTTGTCTTGCCTAGATAGATTATGTGCGAATATGGCGAGCTCTGAGTGAAACATTTAAACAAGTTGCTCGATGAGACCTGGCGATCCCGATGTATTGCTTGGTTATCACAAGCACTTGGCGCTGCAAATGAAGATCCCCGCATCCAGATCAAAGCCCAACAAGAAGAAGAAGATGCAGACCCTCTCCGTAGTCCTCGCAAGAGTGATGCTTCTGGGATCTTTCTAGGGGACACTATTCAGATGCTCCAAGAAACCAACATTTGGAGCGCCATATTATTGGACCTGTAGAGGCAGGGGTCTAAGATGTTGCCATCCCCTCACAGGATATGGACATGGATGATTCGAAGGCAGCGGAGGCAGTTTTGCGGCTGACTGTCTGAGACGCAAGCATGTCTGCTTTTTGAAAGGAGGAGGTCTTAGACGTCTCCGCTGACTCACCGGATGTCGATGCTTCGAAGGCCGTGGAGGCAATGTTGCGGCTGGCTGTCTAGGACAAAAGCATGTCTGCTGTTTGAAGGAGGAGGTCTTAGACGTCACCGCTGACTCACCAGATGTGGATGATTCGAAGGCCGTGGAGGCAATGTTGCGGCTGACTGTCTGGAGCGCAAGCATGTCTGCTGTTTGAAAGGAGGAGGTCTTAGACGTCTCCGCTGGCTCACCAGATGTGGATGATTCGAAGACCGCAGAGGCAATGTTGCGGCTGGC